ACCACGAAAAATAGAAGGCAGAAAAATGTGGTGCTTTCATCTGTCAGAAACATGAAAAGGACGTAGGATTTTCTTCAGAGATTAAAACCACGACATGAGCATCTTCGCAAATAAATGAATCAAAGAAACAAGGTACTGACTGAAAAATAGAAGACCGGCAAATGCACCAGCAGATGAGGAGTAGACGAAGCGACGGACAGTGAGATCAAGGCAGGCGTCCCATTTGGCATCGAGGTCATGCTTTGGGGGAATAATTTGCTTGTCAGCCATTGTAGTTGTAGGGCGAGAACCACCTCTGGTTTTTTCTTTTTTTTTTTTATCAAACAACTCGGTTCTGGTCTCGTGATACTTTTTTTAGCTGACTCTGGGTGCTCTTCTATTTGTTCCCAAAATTTATATGTTTTCGGGTTCGGGTGGGTTGCATTTCTATTTTCGATTCCTAATTTGGGCATTTTTGGTGAACAGGGCTTGCCCTTTATCGTTTAGGCTTATGCTATTTACACCGTCCAATTTACTAACAACATTGTCTTCAATTTCCTTTCGGAGTATAAATTTATCTGAACTTTTTTTTTCAAATGATTTCTTATTGGTCTAGTTAATAAGGTAGTAAGTCAAACTGTGAATTTTTTTCATAAATAATACTATTTTTAAAAATATTTCCCAAAATAGCACCTCCCAATATAATTTCTAACGCACACAAGTCAGAAATTCAATGCTAAGTCATCCACTCAAGTCAGGATTCTCATGTCTTTCTGATGCACACAAGCCAGGAATCCAATACTGAGTCGCTCACCCAAGTCAGGATTCCAATCTTGGATTCCCTACATTGGGTTAAACAAAAGCAGAAGAATCCAAACACATTTAAAGAGATGCTGACCCACCCACTTTGCTTGGATTTTGTGTGCGTCAGAAGCCATGTGATGGAGCCTTGGATTCAAACCATTAGACTTCATTATAAATAGACTACTTTCATTCTTTGAAGTTCTCACATTGCACACTCCTAAATCTCTGAAGCTCTTTGCATTCTTTCTTCTTACCTTTAGTGTTCTTTTTGTTTCACACTCCTAAAATGGGTGTAGTGTCTACTATTGTGTCACTATGATGGTTCCATGAACCCATGTCCCATGGAGGGAGTTACATTCAAGAGAGGAATTTCTCTACAAAGGTTGAAGAAGTTGATCCACAGGAAATTAGAGAAAGAACCTCACGAAAATGTAGCAATCCTCCATTTTTGCCGCCCAACTAGATTTGAAGTTGAGATCAACAACTTCATTGCTGTTGAAAAAAATTAGAAATTATGAATATTAACCTGCTCAATCTAATTTTTATATATAGTTAATTTGGATTAAAATCAATTTAATTTATTATTAAGTTCTTAATTAAAATCAATAAGTAAAATTAGAAGACTTGTTTTCATAAATAATACTCTTTTTAAAAATATTTTCCAAAAATAGCACATCTGGAACATCATTTACACAACTAGCACTGTTTACTGTTCACGTATTAAAATAATCGATTATTATATATTATGAACGAGCATTTCGCGCAATCAACTCTCGCTCAAGCTAATATATCCTTCGCTTGAGCGAGAAAATATGTAACAAAGGGGTAATCTCGGGTCAAGTATCGCTCAAGCGAAGAAATCCTTCGCTTGAGCGAGGAAATCTGTAACAAAGGGGTAATCTCCGGTCAGTTATCGCTGAAGCGATGGGTATTTTCGCTTGAGCGATAAGTGATTAAAATTATATTTCAGAGAACATATTTTCGCTGAAGCGAAGAACATATTTTCGCTGAAGCGAAGAACATATTTTCGCTGAAGCGAAGAACATATTTTCGCTGAAGCGAAGAACATATTTTAATCACGTCTCGCTCAAGCGAAAAGCGATATTTGACCGGAGATTTTAGATAGCGGTTCAATAAATAACCGCTATTAAAAGTATATTTCAGATAGCTGTTATTGGGGTATCGCTATTATATGTTGATTTTTAAGAGCGGTTAAGATATTAACCGCTCTTAAAAGTGAAAAAAATTTATTTTTTATTATTAAATAATTCATTCCCTCGCCCATCTCTCCTCCTTCTCCGATTCTCATTTTCCTTGCACAGAACTTTCTCATTCCTTAGTCGACCACGAACTCGACCTTCCTCACGCGGGTGTGAACTTGCCCATCTCTAATGAAGTCAAATCCGTTATTAACAAAGTATTGGGTGCCAAGGACCTTTGGGGCTATCACCTCCTTCGTGGTCACAGTTTGGGTACTTGAAGAAGTCGCTTCTGAGTGGGTGCGCTTGGAGCTTTTTCTTTTGCCATCCATGGTTTATGTTTACGACTATTGAGAATAGTCAACAGTGAACGAAAACAGAGAACAGAGAATCTGCGAGTAATTAGAAAGCAAAGAATACATTAACCTCCATGGTTGCTGTATGCTTTTTCTTTACAATGCAAACGAAATCAAACAAGATGAACCATCAAATTAAAATTCAAAACCGAAATCAACAACCATATTAAACCCTAATCCAAATGAACAGAACCCAATATCAAACATAGACGAACCAGAGCCGGGAGAGAACGAACGTTTCTTTTGCGTCCGCCGGCGAGCGAGATGCAGAGCGAAATAATGTAAAACTATAATCGCTTAGCACAAACTATGATTGATGTTCTCCAACTATAATCGATCATTCTCAATTATCATCGGTTATCGAAAATTCCGATCGATTATTATCCAATTATAGTCGATCACTTTGACATATATAACTTAAGATAGCAGTTATTGGGCCAACCGCTATCTAAACTACCTTTATTATAGCCTTCCACGAGCCAACCGCTTATTAAAAGTATGATATAAGAGAGCGGTTATAAGGAAACCGATATTATAAACATACGTCCGACAGCGCTTAAAGCCTTACCGCTATCTAATACATTTTTAAAATCGGTTCTCACTAATCGCTATCTAAGGTTTTCAAGCGAAAAACACATCGCTTGAGCGAGGACACCTGGAAAAATGGGGGATTCTCGGTTTCTGTCTCGCTCAAGCGACGCTGTGAACGCTTGAGCGACAAGTGATACATATATGATGAGCGAGAATTGACCACGGTCCAACGCAGTTACTCAATCAATTCTCGCTCGAGCGAAGAAATTCATCGCGTGAGCGAGAATTGACCAATGGCTAAACGTCCATCGCAGTTAGCCACAAAACGCAACTTAAGTCCCACATATTTTAATCACTTCTCGCTCAAGCGAAAATATGCGTCGCTTGAGCGATAATTGACCGGAGATTACCCCTTTGTTACAGATTTCCTCGCTCAAGCGAAGGACTTCTTCGCTTGAGCGAGACTTCACCCGAGATTACCCCTTTGTTATATATTTCCTCGCTCAAACGAAGGGTTACTTCGCTTGAGCGAGTATTGATTGCGCGAAATAATGTAAAATAATCGATTATTTTAATACTTGAACAGTAAAGAGTGCTAGTTGTGTAAATAATGTTCCAGATGTGCTATTTTGGAAAATATTTTTGAAAAGAGTATTATTTATGAAAAAAAGTCGACTCCGGGTGCTCTTCTATTTGTTCCCAAAATTTATATGTTTTCGGGTTCGGGTGGGTTGCATAGGGGGAAGCTCAAAGGACAAGAGACTTATTGTCTATGAAGAAACAAAGGAATCAGCTTTAAACTACATTATTTGATAATGAGGTGACCCTTTCTGACAATGTTAAAGAGAATCAGACTCTTGTGCTTCAAGTGAACGAGTTTCAAACTCAAAACAATTTATCAATTGTGAGAACTGAACTAGTTGAGGAGGCTGAGGTCAGAGCTAAGGATGTCAAAGAAAAGGTTAGGTACCGAAGCTAAGCTTGTTAAGCTACAAGCAGCATTTGACAAGCAAATGACCAAGCAGCCAAACTTCAATTGGTCGAGGAGTAACTTGTTAAAGTGTTTGAAGATGACTTCAGCAAAGCCATGGAACAAGCTATTGTGATTAGTCTGGATATTAATATCGAGTTGTTTAATATGGAAAAATTAGTTGTTAATGGGTAGTTAGTGAATGATTGACCCTTTTGTTTATTGTATTTTGTATTTTTGAA